ATTGTCGACTACCTGGTTGGGGTTCCCTAGATGATAATAATTGATGGTTAGAGAACTTGAATGACATGGCTCAAAATCGTTCGCAATGGCGCCAGTGCATTTATTCTTTGTGTTCTCTCAAATCCTAATCTTCTGGATTCTTCAACACCTCTAGTTTTTACTTTCTAAACTTATCTCATTGAATCATACTTCGTGAATAATATCTTCTAATTCTAACCTCTCGGATTACTTCTAATAGCTTTACTATCTCTTCTACTATTGGATTTGAATTTGAAATTATATCTCTGTGCTGATGTGGTATGGCGACATGAACTGATGTACGTACGTACGTACGTGCAAAGTTCTACGTTGCAACTGACTGAAAAGCATCGCGTGTAGTAGTAGTAGTCTACCAGTATTACGAGCTTTCATACTACAAATTACTTCCCAGTTAGTCAAGTATGTTCAGTCGTATAATATCTGTATTACTGTGATGAACTAAGACAGTGAGACGAAATAGGATAAACAGTTTATTTGAACAAGACACTGTTTACTAGCCAAAATATGTACACCTTATCTTCAAACATCCATTTGCAAAACGAGTGTTCTTGTCTATCCTCTTTCACGTATAAAATCCGCTAGCTCAATGGGAAACCATAGAAAGTATTCATCATATCTTATGTAGTACATTGTGAAATCACTCTATTTGACAATAAGTTTGCATTTAACTGATCTCGTTAAATGAAGGTTGTTCAGTGTTTCATAAATTGACTGAATTCGAACTGATTATCAAGTGAATGGTTTTATGCTTTCTTTGAGACCTTAAAATCTTGGCTTCTGTCTCATGTTAAGTAGTTATAAGTGTACATTGCTGAGTGATTCCAAATCGGAAAGAAGCAGTTGTCTAGCTTGTTGTTAATGATTTTAGGTGATAGTTGGGACTATTCAGTAGGATTGTATCTAGGTTTGACGACAATGTTTACTCATTATCAAGATGCATATGCATTCTTTATAGGACTGAAGCTCTTTAGTGGATTAGGACTTGGGTTACCCAGTTTTATTGTCATTACCACCAATCTATTCAAGCTGGCAATGAGCTCATGTAATACTAAGATACTCGGATTGTTTAACGGTTGATGTCATGTCCTTTGTGCGCATCGAATTCTGTCGACCAAGTTTATGAATGTGTCCACTTATCTGTGTGACTCAACATCAAGCTCTTACGACTTACGCCTGTTACCCCCAATGGAGCATAGGTTGCCCACCAGTTTTCTCCAACCAACTCTGTCCTGGGCTTCCCTCTCCAATTCTGTCCAATGTTTGTTCATTCCTCTCATATCTTTCTCTATTTCTCGGCGTAATGTGTTCCTTGGCCTTCCTCTTTTCCTTTTGTCTTGAGGGTTCCATGTGAGGGCTTGTCTCGTGACGCAGTTAGGTGCTTTTCGTAGTGTGTGTCCTATCCACTTCCACCGCTTCTTCCTAATTTCCTCCTCCACTGGAATCTGGTTTGTTCTCTCCCACAGTACGTTGTTGCTGATGGTGTCTGGCCAACGAATACGAAGTATTTTGCGTAGACAACTGTTAATAAACACTTGTATCTTCTGGATGATGGCTTTGGTAGTTCGCGAAGTTTCCGCTCCATACAGTAGAACTGTCTTGACATTTGTATTGAAAATCGTGATTTTGGTTTTGGCTGAAAGTTGTTTGGAGTTCCAGATATTTTTCAACTGTAGGAATGCAGCCCTTGCTTTGCCAATCACTCAACATCAAGTTGACTGTTAAATGATGGTTGGAAGCTGCCAACAAGAAATCTTGGTCTTGGTTTCTTGCTGGTTAGTCATTCTGTCCAGATTTTCAGCTAGGGTTTATTCACTGAGTGTGTAATACAGAGATATACAGAACAGCAATTAACCCGTTCTTAATTTCATATGTGCCATTCTAAAAGGATAACTTCACTCACTAGAGCATTCAGTCACAAATTCTATAATAAATTTGATATGTTGAAAAAAAAAACTTGTGTTTGTCTATCTATATACATCTGGACTGCGTAAGTGACAGTTATTGAGTTCAAGTCTTAGTTTGATCAGCGCCCAAGCTGGAACGCAGATACATACAACTAACAAATTCTTTCATAGATTGAAACCTGCATCCTAAATTCCATCGGTAACCACATACAAGAAATAATTTAGTGTTTTAAATTTTAAAAAAAAAACAGCTACTATAACTTCAAAAAATAATACAAATGAGAAACTGACATTTGATTGATAGTAGTAGTATTATTGTGCTAACATGTCACCACTATCATCTTTATAAGTGTTCTATTTCATTATGATCACATTGATCTAACAGCTATATTCTATGAGTTTTCATTATCGTGATTATTAAGTTCATCACTAAATGACTAAATAAAAACATCAATGTGTATGATATTTATATAATATAGTATGAAATTAACAACTATGTTCAAGGATGTACTTGTGACTAAAAATCTGACATTGATTAAGTCATTGAAATAAAGTTGAAATGTTTATTTTTTGTCTAAAGCATTAACTGTATGTATTTCGAGAAACATGTGATGTTGAGGTCAAGCTAAGCATTTCTGTCGTCTTAATCTCACGCAGCTTTATTTTTTTAAAAAAAAAAGATAGATTATTATGTCATTGAAAGATTTGTTGAGACATTATTTTGAAATGTAACCTATTGAAATTGTGTTCATTGGAGAATTTGTTCAATAACCTATTACGTATCTTATGCGCTTTATCATGTTATTGATCGGCTCAATCCTCAGCTTATTTACTTGATTGATATCATGAAGGTCATTTCAAATTGATTATCATAGTGTAAGAGATATTCCGTTTATAAAGCATAGTGAATCTGAATAATTTCATCCTACTACTGCATATAATCAACACTTCAATGAGTGTATGACTAATTCAGCCGACTTCACTGAGACCATTCAGTTAGTCAGTCAGTTGCAACGTAGGACTTAGTGCGTACATACATCAGTTCAAGTTGCTAACATTTTAGACACTATAATAGTTAAACTGATCCCTCTGTGATTGTCTCAAGAGGACTTTCGTCCTTTCTTATAAATTTGGACAATCAGTGATTAAGATCAGTCAGATGGGATTACATCCGTTTCGCAGATCCTAGCTAAGACAGCCAATCTAACTGCTGAAACTGGACTACAGGACTTACATCAACTTGCCATTCAGGTCGACTGGAGATCGTGAGTAACCGAGGTGTGTTTGAAGGGCAGTTGAACTGTTCCCTGAAGTGTTCTACCCATCGACCCAATCTCTTGGATTGAGAGTGAACAATGATCTCATCTTTTTCCGGGACAGATTGGCTAACAGTCGGATTCCTAATTCCGGTTTCCTTGATAAATCTGGACAACTGTCTAGTGTTACCTATCACCGCCGCCTTTGCCATCTCTTTTGCTTCCGTTACTCACCACTGCTCATGATCACCGCGTAAGCTTTTCATCAGCTTGTGTTTAAGCTGCCTCCGCTCCTCACCGTGTTCAGAATCATACAGGATCAGTTTCGGAACATCTATCAGTTCAGTAGATGACACTGAAATCCACTGCTTCTCCCTAACCCTATGGTTAAACTTACTAGCATATACCATTGTTGTCTCCACAGCTTTTTGGATATCGTCACAAGCTGCCGCGATGTGCGCATCACTCACATGGTTGTCTAACTGTTTTTCTAGTTGCTCCTGAAACGTATTTTTAGCTTTGATATCATTAAGTAGAACCCTGAGAGGTTTCCTAGTGGTGTCTCCCCTACGTCCAGTGAGATCCAAACAAAATACGCGCTCACACTAGAGCTTGATCTGATTCTAAACATGTGTTCCGAAACAAGTGGCAGTCTTTTATCGAGCCTCTATCGTTTTCGGGTATTAATTTGGTCTATTTGGGTCCAACGTTGAGTTTACTTTCCTTGTGCCTAGAGTTTTCATTTGCCAGAAATAGGCGATTATCGGAGCATAGTTTCGGAAAACGGTGGCCATTATCTTTCCGATGAACCTTGATCCACGCAGGTGTCTGTCGGTCTCGTTTGGTTTACCTGCGTGAGCAATAAAATCGCCAGCCACTGCAGCATCAGAGTGCTTAACACCTTGAAGATGGTTGGAAAACTTTCCGTAAAATCCATCTTTTATTTCATCCACCCTGCAACCAGTCTGAGCATAGGCATAAACAACGAACTAATGAATATTCCCAAGTAGGCAGATGATCGAATTCACTTTACTTTGAAACATTTCATTAAAATACTTCGGTAAACTTCACATTCTATTTTTTTAACATCAAAACTAATTCCCCCTTTTCATCCCAATTATCTCATCATAGAAAAGAACTTGTTCATTTATAATAATCAATTGATCATAAACAAATAATAATTTACGAGTCATTTATAAATATAAAGCTGACAAGTTTAGTTCACAATTTCATGCCAAATTACCCGTGCGAGTAATTAGGTTGTTTCCTTTTCATTAAGAATAGCATACTTACTTATTCACTGACGCTTGTCACCCCCAATAGAGCTATAGGTCGCTGGCAAGAATATCATAAACTAACTTTAAAATTTCTGCTTTTTCAAGTCAGATAATAATCTATGTAGGGTTTTTGACATTTTAAAGGAAATTTATTCCTTGATTTCTTCTTTATTGACTGATATTTAATAGTTTCTACTGATTACCAACCACCATCATACCGATATCGATCTATGCTGAAAGATGCTTCCGATAACTTTCTTCATGCAACAACATTAGGATTAAAATGATTGAAAATAACCGGGAAAAAACAGCAAATGTTGTTCGGACAACATGGTGTGTTACGCAAACTCAGTATTACTCTCATATGATGTTACTAGTTATGTTTAGATGTTTCAGTGTGATTTTCCATAATGTAAACAATCGACACTCTTAATGTTTTTTTTATTTCTTATGTCTGAATATCATGATGACAGTACTAACTAGTGTATTATTTCTTGATTTCTTTTGTTATTATTATCAAATAGGAATTTAGATTTACCTCCTGCATATACTGATGTTGTAAAATTGTCTACCATTGAAACTGGACCTAATAATCATTACAACAACAGCCACATTGTACCAATTCCAGATGCATTTCCTTTTAGTCTCTTACCAAATGAACATCAAATTACCACCACCAACCCGGCATTCATGTCCAAATCATCATCAAATCATATTGGCCAATTCAATTGTGCATTATATGACACTGAACAACCGAATGCTGCTACATCAAGTCAAACATCAAATGTCGACTTGTCGAATACACCACCACCACCTAGTTATGAAGAGATTGTTGCAGCGACAAATGCACTAAAATCGTATGATACACATGAAAGTGTTATTCATTCAGGGAATGAAATTAATATTGCTCAAGTTACTCATCAAACAGACGACAGCACTATTGCTACTGCTACTACTACTACTACAACTAACAATCATCATCATAATAGTAATCATACAACTCCAACTAATAATGGCAGTAATTTGAATACTAATCGAATTGACAATAGTTTCACGTAGAATTTTTATTAAATTAATAATTTCTGCTGTCTTGTTTTTAACACTACTAACTATCATCACCATTACCTATGAGTGTTACTAATCGTACTGCAAGTAGTAGTATTACATTGTACTTCTTCAAATGAAACCATTCAATGATTTTTGAATGCATAAATTCTCAGTGCTTTTTTTTTTGATTAATGACAAAATTTTAATTCCTTTTCCTTTCTTCTTTTGCCTTTTTTTATTTAAATTTTGTTTGTTTAGTATTTTCAATCAATAATTTTGATCATTCTTTGTCTTTTCCTTTCGCCCCATTTTGCTAGATTCATTTAGGAATTGAATAAGCTTCCCACTCTCTCTCTCTCTCTCCATCTCTTCACTCCTCAGTATGTTGTTTTATTCAAAGTGAATTCGATAATGAATACTGTGTCACAGAAAAAGTGCGCATACTCTCATTGATGATGATTGCGCGCCGGTTGTTTAAATTAAATATCTTCCTTGTAATTTTAAATTGAATAATTGAAAAATGTTGATTTGCAAGATTTACAACTAATGATCATCACTAAAACAAAATCATTTATACATCCTTGCTGATTCTATTGTTGTTCACTTTAGTATTATTATTATTATTATTAAGCTTTGTATAGTTTCTATTTTTTTTTTTCCATTCAAATCCATTTCGATTCATGTGTTTTATTTATTTTGAAAATTTTGGCTTCGTTTTTGTTTGTTTGTTTTTATATTGTGTGTGTGTGTGCGCACTTTGAAGATTTGCTTCGATTTATTTGTGATCGATCTTTCAATCATAAAAAACAAATTTATAGATGAATATTCTTAGGAAAAATAAGTTATCTAGAATTGTATCAAAAATGTGTAGAGTGTATTCACTGTATGAACGAAAGAGAACAACTAGTGTATTGTGTCATATTATCGTACATTTGATGATATATATATATACATTTCATAGATGCATTCACATACCTATTGATTGTAAGTATGTGTGTATGTAAAGCAGAAAAAGACAATTCTTACTACTTTTAATTCTATCTTTATATAATGTATGTTTTCTCATTTCTTGATTTTGATTACTATAAAGACAATCATGAATGATTTATTCTTATGACTGAATGCAGTATATACAGTGTATACAGTCTGGCCGGAGGTTGTATAGAACTGTTGTAAAGAACAGTAGGTGAATTATATTTGCTTTATAAAAAAATATATATATGTAACATTCTGCTATTTATGTAAAATGAAGTGTTTACTTAGATGGTGGAGAAAATTCCGTAGCTCAGGTGGATGATTGTGGTGGTGTTTTTGGTTGTGGAGCTTTCTGTCATAATGGTCAATTGATGTGCTTGAATTAGTACGAGTTCACCTTGGTCGGTAAACGAGGGCGAAGACAAAACGATCCAGTGACACGATAGCGTGCCAAGGCCCCAGTAAATAGAGGAAGAAGACGTAGAAATTGCATTCTAAAAGAACCCAGAAAATATGAGGTTTCCAAGCACACAAATCGAGTTTAATTATACGTTCTTGAGAGCGCCACAAAAATAACGTACTAAAGTAGTGCATCAAACAATAACAGCCAAGGATTTTCCTGGTTGGAAATGTAATCTCAAGGTCAATTGATCAGCCCATGCATAAAAACATAAAATCCTAACTAGGGCCTTTATCAAGTGAGTTCTGTGGATCTAACGTCCCCAACACTTTCATTGTTCCTCTGAACAGAATCATCAGAAGAACAATGAAAGCTCCACAACTCAGATAAAGAAACACCTCCACAGTGTTTAATTAACAACTAAATCATACACAGAGTTTCAGCCAAACTTGATTTTAGCAGATCTAGACCTATTCAACAATTGTCACTAGTTTTGATAATAAATAGCTGACTAATTATCTAAATTGATCAATAAGATAATTTGTTTAGAGAGAAAAAAAAAGGAAAACATTCCAGTATGTCTGACTTCAAATAAATATTTTTTTTCTGATTTTACGAGGTGATCAGCAATAGAACGATGTGATTTTTCGTTTCTAATAAAACTAGTTACTTAGTGAATTAATCTAGTAAGTAAACTGAATGATTCTAGGATATATATACTTTTAATTTAACAAATTCTAAGCTCATCAGTTGAATTATGTAGTATTGTAAAATAACGTACTGATTTACTACTTATTTAAGTAGTAGTAGTCATTGAACTATACAAAAAAGAACAGATGCCAGTTATAATAACATTTTTTTTATGCAGATGAGTTTATCTAAGTTTTGTGTGTTCTCTTTACCTCGTCATTCAAGTATCTATGTGTCTTTTGTCTCTTACAACAACGAGCACAAGTGAATTCAACAAAGAAAACTTTTTAAAAGAGGATGAAAATAATCTGAGTTAGTCTACATAAGTTACATGCAATCACAAGAGAAACATGTTCAGTGAGATTTGTGAATTTCGGTAATGGATTGTTCACCTCGCACATATCCTTGCGTGAATCACTTGAATACTATGTACTGTACATTCTTAGTCTTCTTATTTTGCATATCAGTTTGTACAAGCGTTAGAGAGTGTATATGTTGATTAAAACTTCTCGAACATCATAACGCACTGATGCATACAACTAGTATGTACATTTAGTCTTCAGAAAGATCGAATATAAGAGAAAGATTGTTATTTCATGAGAAAAAAAAATACCTTGGTCAATGACAGTTTCGTTGTGCTTTCTAAGTGGGTTTTTTTTCAGTTGATGGTCTTCATTTTAGACAAATGAACTCGTAAATAAATCTGAATATGAAGTTTATAATGTTGATTCATACTTATGGAAATTCGTCAGATTTTCCTTTAACGAAGTTAGTTTTTTGACACTTCTCAAAAGACTTTTATCAGGCAATGAAAAGTACGGTCGAATGACGGGATCTATAAAATATCTTTCCTATGTTTTCCTCTTATATAATATGAAATCGGAATGATTATTTTATGAAAAAATCAATTAAATCAGAAGTAGACAAACTATAGGCTACCTTTTGGTCAGTCACTCAGTTGCAACGTAGAACTTCGTACGTATGTACATAAGTTCATGTTGCCATACCACATTAGCACAGAGACGCAAATGTCAAATCAAATCCCATAGTGATAAGGATAGTAGAGGTATTAATGGTAATGAAGAAGACTAGGGTTTGAAGATATTATTCAATTCAGTGAGATAAGGTTAGAAAGACAAAGGTAGAGGTGCTGACGATTCCAGAAGATTAGGATTTGAGAGAGCAGAACGAATCTACCTTTTGATGTTCCAATGTGTCCCACGAAATCATGTAGAAATATGAGTGATAGCTGACTAGGCCTTGCAAATTAATGAGAATAATGTACAAACTGAATGTAAAAAAATCTCGATATTCATTGAAAAAATGGTTATATAATTTTCTGTTTGTTGTTAGTATTCTTAACAGACTAAATGAATCCACTATGCAGTAACAGTGAGAAACTGTTTACACCTAAAAACTATAAGTCAGATTTACGTCATTTCATATTTACTTCAAGTTATTGTCTAATCAAAATGAGAAACTTCACTATACTACTCAGTTCCCGATAGTAAGCACAAATAATTTCGTCGGGATCTTCTTGTCAATATCTGAGTTGAATATATTTTGGCATTTCTATGTAGGATCCTCTTCATTTTGTATATGAGACGATTGACCAAGTTTGGGTTGAATAACTGGTTATCGTTTAACTCTCATTCATTTGTTCATCACATAGGATTCTAATGGAATCGACAATATTCATATTCTCCCCTAAACAGAAAAAATCTATCTGGTAATGTTGTTGTTTATTTAAACAAAGTTTTTTGATAACACGAGCTTAATTTTCGATATGTATATATATTTCCCATTTTAAAAGTAGTAAAACATCTAACAAAAATATAATCATGAAACTTTAGAAAGTAAAAAAAAAATTCACTCCGAATTATCACCATTTTCTGAAAGAGGGAAAAATGTGTAGATTTTTAAAGAATGTTGTTCAATTTTCAATTGAAACTATATTTTTCACAAATATCGACTAAATATGTTTATTTTCTAATGAATAAAAACTATTTAGTTTACAAACAAGATTTTTTTCAAAAAAAAAAGAAAATTTGACTATTATTGAAACTATTGACATTTTTAAAAACTAGTTAGTTATATATTCGCGATAATAAAAAGTGTGAAAAGTATTCATTCGTTAGACTTCAGGTATTCATTCACACACATTATATATAACAACAACTAACTTGATGATATACGTTATTGAAAATCAATTGATCCTTTTGTAGTGAACGAGAACACAGGTGGGGCAACCAGATTGTATTTAACGAAAATTACAGAGTTACTCAGTAAAATCGGAAAACTATATCGTAAATCGTTCATTTGTAAAATATCAGTTCATCATATCGAACTAGACTGTTCCTGTTGCCAAACATCAATCCATTGTCACTATTCATGCGTTTCATACAAATTCCATTGTGTTCTAACTCTTCCTTTTTTGATCTTCCCCCATCTTCTGCTGCCAGACATTACGTTGACACTCACGTCATATACTACTTATAAGTAGCTCGCACCACACTTTGAACATTTTTCATTGCTCTTATCAATTGTTTCTGTATGAATTATTTATTTATTCATAAGAATATTTTCAATTTCATTGATAGACACTTACTTACTGCTTACATTAAAAATGTGTTTAGTTCAACAAAAAATATTTTTTTTAATATTAAAAAATTATATTTCATTATGTGTGTTTTTGCTTAGTGAAATACGCAAATGTCGCTAATTTACTGTCTCACGTATAGAGTTTGATACTGACTGAAAATATTAGTTTCTTAATGCTAAATCCATCCTACATTTTAACACGCAATAGTGTTCGCTTTTTATGCACAAGAAAAATCTTATTAAATACAAAGAAAACGAACAACGGATTACTGCAATCGTGAACATTGTTTACTGCTTTATATATTTGTATTATAATCATCCAGCTAGACAATATTACCCATATGAAACCATGAATCGATCTATGTTAGACCACCATTAGAAACC